CAGGGCGGGGGGGGGCGGGGGACCCCAGGCTGCCGCTGGTCGCGCTTCCATCTTGGGCTCTCCGGGTGCGGGGACTGGCCTGGGGCCGTGGGAGGGTGGGTCCGCCCGGCTTGTTTACCGACCATCGATCGGCCGCAGCTGGACGCGTCGCCGGCCCTGCCACCTCTCTTCCGCCAGATTTTCTCCCAAGTTCTTTTCCTGCCAGATACGAGTCGGTGAGTGGGGTTCCGCTCCCCTCTGCAATAGGCCGTAAATACTTGAGTCCATCGCCACAAGTTGGTGCTGGTCTCCAAACTTGTATTAGGGCCCTCGGCCGCTCTCACTCCGGGTCTTGCAGTGGCCTCCTGTTGTTGCCACTGGTAAGAAAATAAAGGTGGGGGGCGACCGGGAGGGTGGGGAGGAGGAGCTGGGACTAGTAGAAAGATTACCCCTTCCGCTCGCAATCGCGATTGCTCAGTGCAAGAGTCTTATTTTTTTTCTCTGCCGCGGTATAGTGCGGGTATTTTCACAGACAAAAGAACTGAAATGAATACTTGCATTAAGCACAAGGGACCAGCAGTGTAGGTGAAGCCTGGAAGCTTGAGCCGGGCATTATCTTTAAGATACAGTGAAACTCTTGTTGAGAATTTTCTTATTTCAGTTCATTAATTCCTCCTTTCCGTAGCTCCATAGACTGTTTAGGCGCGGCCCCCTTTACTCAATTATTTTGGCCTCACGATATAATCAGCTTATGATGTTCATCAATTTAATGTACAGTAGTATTGTTTTAGGAATACAGTTGACAAAATTTTAACTCTCAGACATGTTATATAATGAGTAGTTTCTCTACCATGAACAAGTCTTGTTTCAGTTGAGTTCTTTATCACTTGTGCAACCTCTAGGGTACCCCTGTTTTGATCGGACAGGATGACTCTGTACAAACCATAAGCCAAAGGGCAATCATAAAGAATTTTGGTCTTTGCTTTTGCCAGAGCCTTGAGAAAGTCATTTAAACTATAGAAAAAATAAAGCTAGGTCTTGCTTCCTGTTTATTTATTTATTTTGTATTAAATGAGGTAATTCTAAGAAAATTTAGAACCGTGTTTTCAATTTTTGTCTTAAGATAGCCAGTTTCCTCCTCATACTAAAAAGTTCATAACAGCGTTTTTATTGGGCTATGGGGGGGGTGAAGAGGTAGTAGGACAGCAATAACACATTTTAGTCTTTTAGGGAGGATATTGTTTGAATATGTCATGAGAGTTTTATTTCTGTTGCTGTTTCAGCACCGTTTATTAATATCTCAGAGCATTAGGACACCCATTTATTTACTTTTGAAATGTGCTTGGGTTAGTATGATGAACTCGTTCATGGCAGTGTATTTTAAGCTCATGGCCTTGATCCAGATCTGTACACCAATAGGGGTTATGGCATATCACATTTAAAGTCTGAGGATTAGCATAGTTTTGAAACTCATGATCCAGTTATACAACATTTGAGGTGAATTGCTTCATATGGGTAACTGATACAGTGAGATCTGTTCCATGTACTTTATACTTGTGTTGCTTTCATAGTAAATGCAAACTTTATAAGTAAGTGAGAATTGCTAAAGTAGATCACTGTACTTTATTGGTTCTATTTTATTAGACATTTCTGTTTGCCTTCCCCTTCCTCTGATATTACCATCTTGTATCTAGGCCTGGAACACTTTTTCTCTCAAGGATGTGGTGTTGCATTTGAAATATTTGTGCTCCACTTATGCTTTGGGTAAATGATTTCTTGCACATTTGAGTACTTGGACCTCTTTGCTTTACAATTTAAAGACTTTCAGAATACAAATACATGCACAACCAAGTTCATGCTCCTTAGCATGTTCAGATTTCTCTGTAGTCTGGGCATGATCCATTCTTCCGTCTTAACTCTTTTTTTCTTTTTGTGAATCCTTTATTCTAGCCAAACTAACTTGTTTGTTGTTCCTGTGAAGTCCCTCCCCTTAGCCTTTCCTTATGCCATTCTTTTTGTTTGAAATCCTCTTCCCCTGGTATTCTTGGAATACTCTCTTTACTCTGGGCCCAGTTAGGTTCTGTCTCTTGAGAAACCTCTTTTGACTGCTTCAACTCCAGGAGAGCTGATCAGTTTTCTCTTACTTAAGACTTTCTTCCTTTTTTCCTTAGCGTATTATAGCCTGGATTTCTCTTCATTTTTTTTAACGATTATCCTACTTCCTAGCTAGACCTTTCAGAAATGCTATGTGAACTCTGTGCTATGTATCTTTGGAGACCACATACTCAGCACAGGGAAATATGGATACATGGTCTGACAAGGTTTTTTTGGTTACAGAGATGTTCTAGTATATGCAGTGTGTACCCTTAATTAAGTATTGGAGTTTCTGGGATTTTGATGGTTTATGAGACAAGTATTTGACATTACGGCTGTCTTAAAAAATACTTAGGAACCAGCAGTTAGTGTAATGGCTATGTCGCTGGACTCCCGTGTAGTCGACCGTGGTTCGCATCCTGGACCCGGTGGCTTAAACTCACACCGGGCACGTGTGCGTGTGTGCCCAAGATCCCGAGAGGAGAATGGAGGAGAAGGGATTGCGGTGTGGCCATCCCCCCTGGGGGGTGATTTCTCACTTTCTATCTCTCTGTCTCTCTGTCTGTCTGGCCAGCGCACACGCCCTATAGCAAAAACCTCTAATTGGAGACCACATACTCAGCACAGGGAAATATGGATACATGGTCTGACAAGGTTTTTTTGGTTACAGAGATGTTCTAGTATATGCAGTGTGTACCCTTAATTAAGTATTGGAGTTTCTGGGATTTTGATGGTTTATGAGACAAGTATTTGACATTACGGCTGTCTTAAAAAATACTTAGGAACCAGCAGTTAGTGTAATGGCTATGTCGCTGGACTCCCGTGTAGTCGACCGTGGTTCGCATCCTGGACCCGGTGGCTTAAACTCACACCGGGCACGTGTGCGTGTGTGCCCAAGATCCCGAGAGGAGAATGGAGGAGAAGGGATTGCGGTGTGGCCATCCCCCCTGGGGGGTGATTTCTCACTTTCTATCTCTCTGTCTCTCTGTCTGTCTGGCCAGCGCACACGCCCTATAGCAAAAACCTCTAAAAAAAAAAAAAGAAAAAAAAAGTATAAAAATACTTGCTCAGAGGGTCTGATGGTGAGGCAATCCTACATGATGAAGGTTCCTGGTACATATCTGGAGACTTCCCTGACTCCTCAGGACAGTTGTATGCTCATGATCTAGGGTTCGCTGAAGGCTTGGGATGAATCATGGTAGAGACCCTGTTGGGGGTTTTCTCTGTCTCTTACTCATGGAAGAAATAAGGAAACTTAAAATTTGATCAGTGTGTGTATGTCTGTTATCAGAACAGTTCTCTGCCTATAGAAGATACTCAACATTTTAATAATGATCATATCATATTAATCATATAAAAATAAGTACTCTCTTTTTAGAGAGATTTTTGCTCTAGGGTATGTGTGCTTGCCAGAGACAGAAAGCAAGAACTCAACCCTCAGAGTGATGGGCACGTACGCACAGGCACCTGGTGTGAGTTTTTTTATTTTTTTAAGAGAGATTTTTGCTATAGTATGTGTGTACTCGCTGGAGAGACAGAGAGACAGAAGGGGAGAAATCACCCCCCAGGGGGGATGGCCATGCTGTAATCCCCTCTCTTTCATTCTCATCTTGGGATTTTGGACATGCATGCACATGTACCCAACGTGAGTTTTTTTTTTTTTGAGAGGTCTTTGCTATAGGGCGTGTGTGCTCGCCAGACAGACAGAGAGAGACAGAGAGACAGAAAGCGAGAAATCACCCCCCAGAGGGGATGGCCATGCCGCAGTCCCTTCTCCTCCATTCTCCTCTTGGGATCTTGGGCACACGTGCACACGCGCCTGGCGTGAGTTTTAAGCCACCGGGTCCGGGTCTCGAACCGTGGTCGACTACATGGGAGTTCAGTGACATAGCCATTAGGCTAACTGCTGGTCCCCCCCAACATGAGTTTTAGGCCTCTGGGTCTGGGACCCAAACTGCGGTCGACTATGTGGGAGTCCAGTGATGTAACCATTATGCCATCTGTGGGCCCCCACAATTTTTTTAATAGAATTATTTTATTTTATTTATTATTATTTTTTAATTTAACCAGAGAGAGAGAAAGGGAAAGTGAGAAAGCAAGCCGCCAGGCCTGGGACTCAAACAACAGTCAACCATGTGGGAGTACAGCACCTTAACCACACGCCGCCTGCTAGCCACAGTACCACAATTCTGTGGTTTACTTAATATATGAGTCTGGGGCAGATACATGGTTTTGAGTTTGGCATGTGTAACACTAAGTTGGCTGTTCTGTATTTGTATATAGGTAACAGCATCATGGAAAGGAGAAAATAATGTGTAGCTTCAGCATGCATTCTTAACCTCAGATGTTGGCAGCATGGCATTGATCATAAGTTAGATGAAATAGGAGAATATATGATTCACAGCTACCTGTCAACACTGTTGGGAGGAAATACAAATAAGCTGGTCTGTAGTATTTTTGTATACCAAGGATAATGTATATAATTATATGTATATAGGTGGATGCTTATGCATTTGGAAAATAGGTGTGTATGTTTCTAATGTGTAGTGCCTGTGTGTGGTTAAGAGGCATGGTGTTTGTGGATATGGTCTCTCGTCAGATTACCATCTTGACTTTTCTACTTCATCAGTGTGGAAGCTTGTCCTCCTCCTCTAGTTCTTCAAAACATTTTTCCCCTCTTGAATTTTTTTTTTATTATTATTTTATTCATTGTCATTATTTTAATTGACCAGAGAGAGAGAGAAGGAAAGTGAGAAAGCAAGCTGCTAGGTCCGGGACTCTAACCATAGTCTGCTATGTGGGAGTCCAGCAGCCCTAACCACCATACCATCTGCCAGGCCCAAAATATTTGTTTTTCGTTTTTTTCCCCATCCAGAATACACTGTATATTGGCACAATCAAGCACATCAACGTACGTGTTATCAACAAATAATTTTCCATTTCTTATGTCTTGTATATATATATATATATTTTTTTTTTTTTTTTTCCACCATCCTTGATTCTCTATCACTCACCTTCTGCCATGTCCCACCCTCCTCCCACATTGTCTCTGGTATCCATGGTTGCTTTCTATGCCTCCCCCCTCCCATTTAATTGATGTGCTAATGAACTTAGTCAGTCTAAATATTTCCAATAGCAAGCA